GCTAGATGTGACCCAAAAGTGTCTAAAAAGAAAAAAAACTTTATGTGTTTAGAAGCACACTATAAATGAAGTCATTAAAAGACATCTATAACAAAAGTTGGCTTCATGTTTGCAAGTTGAATGTGCAAAATAAATTTCGTATTTAACAAAATTTTAATGTAATAGAAAGCATAAATGTGGTATTTCTTAACTTATAATGAATACTTAATTTTCTTCTTTTTACTAGCTAAACTTATAATGAATACTTAATTTTCTTCTTTTTACTAGCTAGCTATAAATATTTGCAATGGACATTATTATCTCCATTTTGGAGATGACAGGAAAATATCAACAGAATTATTGATATAAATTTAAGAGAACAGACGTAAAATCCAACTTCTCTGATACTTCTATATACTGATCTAGCAGCCTATAGCAAAATACTTAAAGCAACCAAACTGCAAGCCAATAATAACATTACAATATTCAAATTTCCTATGAGGCAAATCTCACCTGAGTGCCACATATTTTTTGCCTGTGCACCAAATTAAATGGTCACCAAACTGCCAAACACGTGTCTCTCTATGAACAGTAATCCATTCCCCTATATTTGTAGCTTAACCAGTGCTACCTGGAAACCACTGCCTGACACCAGAACCTGCTGTTTCCAGTGATGCTTCTCTGGTTTTTTGTTGTTGGTGATGCTGAGCGGGGTTGGGGCGGGGAGAACAGGCACACCCAGTGGTACTCAGGAGCCATTCCTGACTCTGTGCTCGGTACCTGGCAGTACTTGGGAGACCATATGCAGTGCTAGGACTCGACCCATTGCCATGGCTACAGCTGCCTGCAAGGCCAGTGCCTTAACTTCCTATACTATCTCTAAGGCCCAGTGCTTCTGTCTTTATCCCAATTCCAAACCACCCTTGCTTGACATGCAAAAAAAGCACAAGAGCCAAAAGGAATAACATACAGATGAGTGAATCTGAAGAATGGAAAACTACACAGAAGGTTACCAGTGAAAAGTGCTTAGCAAGCTGGGAACAACTGGTTTGTGTTTTTATTAAGAGGAGAAAATAGCCGAATGCAGGTCTACTGCTGCTGAGCAATGTCCCACAGCTTCTATCTATAGCTCTGACAACTGGAACTTCTCTATAATTCACTAAGCTCTTAGTAGTTTCCTAGGCTTTGTCCATCCAGCAGAGCTCATTAACAGAGAACTCTAAACGTTTCTACCACTATCTAAGAGCGCATTTTCTCATTCCATACCATAGTAGAAATGAGGTTCCCTTTCAAGATGTGACTTAGCCTCATTCAATTTCTTCTCACTTCGGGAGGCAGCAACTCAGTAACAAATACAACTCAACAGCTAGAGGAAATACCTAAATTATAGTTCAGATTAGTGGCTATCCTATGGGTGGCCAACTTAATACCTGGGCAAGTCATATTTATATAAATTTCTCATTAAAAATTTACACCTGTATTCTGGCACTAGTTCATTTACTTTTACTATGTCTGATGAATTCTATGTGTGCCCAGTCAACAATATGTCAGTCTTTGCATTCATTCTAGTGAGATTTTTGTGAATAGTTAACTTAGAGCTACTGAGGACAGGGTCACAGATTCAAACTCCATGTTGGCCAATTAGTTTTGCTGTGTTTAAGGGTTTCATGGTCACAGCCAATAACCTTAACCTTGGCTGACAAAGAAATACACTGATTATGTGAAGCATTGATGGAATGAATACTGATACATCATCAAAATCTGACTACTAGAAAAATAGCAATAAAAATTTTAAATGGTGATTAGCAATAATACCATCTATTTTTTTCACAAATGATGAGAAAAATAGATTCAGAATGATAAGACTTAGTTGAGCCTGTATCCATGCTTTGATCTGTCTGACTCTAAGTTTTAGGTCATTTCCACAATAAGATACACCATCTCCGGCATGTGCACTGACACAAGGCAATTGACAAAATGCCCCTGTAAAACACTATTTAGCAATGGGCTACAGAGGTAGCTCAACAGGTTACATTTTGCACAGAGGAGAGATGGGTTCAATCTCCAATCTCCAGCACCGCAAGGTCCCCTGAGACCTACCAAGTGTGACACCCCCTCCTCCTAGCAAAAGCACAGAACTGGCAGCACCCCCAAGCACTGCCAGGTCATGTGGCCCCAAGTCCCCTGTCCCAAATTACTAAAATTTCAGAAATAATAAAAATGCTTTTTAAAGAACAATTCAGCACAATCATTTCTAAGCATCCAATTGAGAACAAGAGAATATACCTTCAAAAAAGAATTTTTAAGTAAAAATAAAGTAACAAGTGTTTGAAACATAAAGAGCAACTCATTACAGTGCAAAATAGAATCTAAGCTATTGTCATAGCTTTAATATGTGTCTATAATGAAAAATTTTAAGTGGCGAGTTGCACATTCACAGGAGACATCAAAAAAAGAAAAGGAAACATTTCCTGAACATCTGCAACTGCAGATACTTATACTCAACATGGTGTTGTTTGAAAACATTAAAAACAAGTATTTCAATTCTTAACTATGTATTTACTTTAACCAACAAATCACTTCTTCTCTACCAGGCCTTCTCCTTTGTTCCGCTAAACTCTGCAGTCTTGCAAATAGACACACACCAACTTCACGACTGCACAACCCACCAAGCGAGGGTCACTATGTCTTCTAGGACCTACCCAATAGGCCGAACTACAGTTTATAAATGGGAAAAAAAATAAATGGAGGAAAATGCTTTATAATGCTCTAAAGTCAATCACCGATACTTGCATTTCAAGGAGAGAACTGTTCAGCTACAAGCTACAATGTGTGAGCAGGAAACTGCGAACTCTAAAGCACCAGCCCACAAGCAAATCCCAACCACCTTTTCACAATAGCATCTGAAAACCTCTGAAAATAAAAACATCAGGCACATGATCTTTAAATAATACACAATTGCTACAAACCAACAACAATAACAAAAAAGGTCACCCTTGCAATCTGAGATGGTCTGTTAGTAGTTTTTAAGTTGGGGGGGGTGGGGTGAGAGAAAACCATTCTCACTGTATAAACAAGATGGAATATCAAGAAAACACATACCTAAAATTGTCATCGGTTTTTATCATCATAGTCATTAATTACAACAGGTAAAAATAATGAGCACTTGTTTTAGGCACTCTGAGCTCTTTATGTTCACATCTCATTTAATCCTCACTGACACCTTGTGAGATAAATGCTATTTAAGAAAATAAAGTTGCTCAAAGAGATCAAAAATAACTTGCCCAAAGGTATAAAGTAGAAGCGACAGCTGCTGGATACTCAAATTGCTGGATACTCAAATATGTTCCGCGTTATATACTCAACTAATACACTGTTCGCATCCCTCAACCACATTCTGTTTCCCAATCAACAGTTTCAGAATAAAAACAAGACTAGGCAACTACTCCCGCAACCCATTCTTTAAAACTTTAACTCCAAAATCTCTCATCTCTAAGGGGAAAAGCCACCTGCTTTAGAGTCTGAGGGCTTACCTGCCAGAAAACAGATAGGGGGGACCTGAGCGAGAGCACCAGCAGGGCGCCAGCGTGGTAGTCAGCTGACCTGGGTTGGGTGCCCAGCACCCCATATGGTATTCTGATGAGATCCGCCAGGAGGGAGCAATCCCTGAGCAAAGTGCCAGGAGTTAAGTTCTGAGCACCGCCGTGTGTGGCCCAAAAACAGAAAAGAAAGACAACTCATGGGAATACTGATGCTATACTCCGAGTACCACCCATGAGGAAAGAGGCTCTAACACAGACACCTAGGGGCGAAGACACCCAGTGTTTGCACTCCAAGGCAAGCTGCACTGCATTAGAATCAGCTGGGCGCAGCATCAGGAAAGGGACCTGGGGGAGACAGAAGGCATCACTCTTAGTACCAGACTGGGGCACATCAAGAGCTTTGAGAGACGGGTCAGGAAGGTGCTGACAAAGGAAAAAGGATCTGGGGACTTATGGGGGGTGGGGAGTGGCATTTGCAAAGTGTGTGTCTGCACAAGTGTGCACAAGCGCGCGCGCGTATTTTGCGGGGAGCCAAGTCTACAATTGTTGTGGGTTATAGCGTCCGAGAAGAATCAGATCTGAGCCCCAGGGCAGCTCCTCGCAGCCAAGTGAGAGCTCTGAGTCCAGCTCACACTCATTCCCTAGGACCCGTGCCCTCTCTACCGGCTTGGTCTGAGCTTCCCGGGTCAAGGCCACGGCTGCGATCCGCCGCGTGGAGCAATGAGCGAGCGCGGATGCCAAGTGAAGTGCCCACGAGCGGGGCCTGGGGGTGGGGTCGGCGAGGGGGTTGCTGAATGGTGCTTTCTCACGAATCCCCCGTGTCCGGACCTCACGACACAGGAGCGGCTGGCAGACCCCAGCTCGTGTTCCCCCACGACTTTCAGCCGCGGGTGAACCCCCGAGGTTGCCGCAAGGCAGGGCGTGACAGTTTGGCTCCTCCCGGGACCCCGGTCCACCTGGAGGGCCGCGGTGATCGCGGGGAGCCGGGGGCTGCCCGAGACGGCCGGCCGGGACGGGAAGCGCGGTCCCCCGCGGACAAGGCTTGCCACCGGCCCGAAGGAAGCCCGGGTGGTCCCTCGGGGGTCTCCGGGGGGTGGGGGGGCGGGGCAGGGGGGCGCTACACACCCGCTCCGGACCTGTTGAGCCCCGGGAGAGGAATGCGCCCTCCGCGAGGAGTTCGGCGGGACGGCACAGCCCCTGCACCGGCACCGAGGCGCCCCGCCAACCGCCCGGGGAGCGGTGCCCTCCCCCGGGCGCCCCAAAGGGTGCAAGAGCCGGAGCGCGGCAGGAACCTCTGCCCCAGGCGGGGGCCCGCCCCGCGCATCACGTGAGAATAAAACCGCCCGGGACCGGCAGCCGCTACGGCGAGTCTCGTCCCCCGTCCGAGGGGACAAGAGGAAGCGATGGGCCCAACTAGGAATACGGAGGGAAAGAGGGAGAGGTGGGGGGCGGGAAGGGGGGCACAGAGCGGCTCGTTACCCGGGGCACCGTCGCTCTCCGCTTCCGCCGCCGCCTCGACGCCCGAGCTCTTCCGCCCGCGCCGCTGGGGCGCGCTCCAGGCCGCGGCTCCGCCCTCCGCCTCCCCCCCCACCCGCGCCCGTGCCGCGAGGCATTCTGGGAGTTGTAGTCCAGGGCGGCCTCTTGGTCACGTGTCGCGCTTCTGGCAAGATGGCGCAGATGACTGCGTCCTTGTTAGACTCACCTGGGAACATGCTTTTTTCCCCACACCCCACTCGGTCATTTCAACCCCTTCTCTCCTCTTCACTGTCCAGTTCTTGAAAATAGTCGTCCAACCGCGCCGTCTCCACGTCATCCTCTGCAACACAGCTCTTTTTTTTCCCCCCACCACTCTTGGTCAAAACCCATGTTGCCTTGTGGGTCCTTCTGACCCAACTCCCTGAAGGTATTTTCAGGACCTCTAATTTAAGCTTGAAGCACCATTTGATATTGTTGTATATTCTTCATTTATTTTTCGATGTCACTTGCCAAATTTTCCTTTTCCGACCATTCTTTGCAGTTTCAACGTCTTTTTCCAGCCCAGTTCCTAAGTATTAGTGATCCCAAGAATTCTAGGCACGAGGATGGAGGAAAGAACACTCTCATTCCTTCTCTGTGTGTTCATCTTAAGTCCCACAAGCATCTCAAACGTAGCAACTTGGAAAGTGAGCTAACCTCTCTTTCCTAGACACCAATATTGTCTCCAGCCTCCAACCTAGATTCATCATCTTTCATGCTTACTCTTCAACAATTCTTCTTGTTCAGAGGATCAACAACATTTTATCTCCCGTGTAATTCTTGAGGCTGTTTTCGCTTCACACCCATCATTAAGAAATGATGGTCAGGTTCCCATCATTTCTTTTTTTTGTTTTGTTTTTAAATTTTTAGCATTTCTTTACTATTGAACTGCCTTCCTTACAGGGTTCAGCACATCTATTTAGAGCTCCAGAGTGCTATCAGGTCCACTGATGCACATGGGAATATTAATCAGGTCGAGTTTGGGTAAAATCCAGGATCCCGTTGATTGAGTCTGAAGAGGAATGGAGATGTGCAGGTAAGTTCCTTGGATTTATTTTTTGTTTGTTTGTTTGTTTACCTGTTTTTACCTAATATGAATACTGGGCTGGGGCAGTAGCACAGCGGGTAGGGCATTTGCCTTGCACGCAGCCCACCCGGGTTTGATTCCTCTGTCCCTCTCTGAGAGCCCGGCAAGCTACCAAGAGTATCCCGCCCACACAGCAGAGCCTGGCGAGCTCCCCATGGCATATTCCATAAGCCAAAAACAGTAACAAATCTCACAATGGAGACGTTACTGGTGCTTGCTCAAATCCATGAACAACGGGAGGACAGTGCTACAGTGCTACAACACGAATACCAGCCCCTTTCTTATTCTCCCTTCCTTTGTTCAGAGATTCAGAGAAGGGAAATTTATAAGAGATCTTAATATTAGTTTGCGCTTTTTTTTTTTAAGTGCACCAGGTGATTCAGTCATTCAACAAGGACACACTTTTGTTGCCTCTCATTTGCCAGGCATTGTGCTGGGTACTGAGAAAATAATAGTGAATAAGACAGTTCTTTCCCTTTTAAAGCTTATATTCTCTGGGAGGGGGGATTTTTTTTTTTTTTATTTATTGAATCACTGTGGGAAAGGTTACAAAGCTTTCAGGTTTATGTCTCAGTAATGCAAATATCAAACACATTTCCCTTTACCAATACTTATTTTTTACCATGAAGAACCCCAATAAAACCCCACCCCCCCACCCCTCCCCGTCCCTGTGAGGCAGATGAATTCTAGTTAACACTCTATCTGCTTTGATTAGATTCATTGTTTCAATAAAAGATTCACCACTATTATTTAGAGTTTACCCCCCCCCCAAATCAGACATGCTGAAAAAGCATTGTGAAGTGATTTGCTTTCTACAGCTGGGTTAAAGAATTAAATGTTGGTTTTGGATTTCTGCTATTTTACCTATTGACCCTGGAAGTATTTCTACTGAAAGTCAGATAGTTAAGAAACTGGTTTCTGTGTTCTGGAGTCGTGGCCGTGCTGGAGAGCCGCTCGCGGGGGGCAACCGGTGGCCTCGGTAGGGCGTGAAGGGCGGAGCGAAACGCCCCCCTTCCCATGAGGTTTTAGTCGCCCCCACACTCCCGGCTCATACCTGCTGTCCACAAGGCACCCATGTGGCCGCCATCTTTCTTTCCAGAGAGGAGAGGGCAAATGGGGCAACACCCTTTCCCCTCCGGCAGACTTGATGGGCTGGATCAACGCATAGTCCGTTCACTTTTCTGCTCCAAGCTGCTGGGTTCTGCATTAAGTCCTTGTGCTTCTGGGGCCATGGCCGTGCTGGAGAGCCGCTCGCGGGGGGCGACTTGTGGCCTCGGTAGGGCGTGAAGGACGGACCAGAACGCCCCCCCGACCCATGAGGTTTTAGTCACCCCCACTCCCCCGGCTCATACCTGCTGTCCACAAGGCTCCCATGTGGCCGCCATCTTTCTTTCCAGAGAGGAGAGGGCGAATGGGGCAACACCCTTTCCCCTCCGGCAGACTTGATGGCCTGGGTCAACGCATAGTCCGTTCACTTTTCTGCTCCAAGCTGCTGGGTTCTGCATTAAGTCCTTGTGCTTCTGGGGCCATGGCTGTGCTGGAGAGCCGCTTGTGGGGGGTGACTGGTGACCTCGGTAGGGCGTGAAGGACGGACCGGAACGCCCTGGGAGGGGGGATTTTATTAATCAAATTATCCCATACTAAACAAAAGGCAAGGAAAAACAAAACAAAAAAATCCAAAACAACAAGATGTCAGCTGTGACAAAAATCATTCAGGAAAAGTAATTCCTTTTCTATTTCCCTCTGCCATCTTTCCCTACTCCATGGATGGAAATTAGCACCCTCTGCCTAACTAGCAGCCCGTCCAAAGCTAATCTTCCCCCTTCCTCATTTCCCTACCTAGATTTACGAAATCACTATACTGCACTGCATTCTCATCTTTGCACAAACTGTCCCTCTATTTGGAAAAACACTTCCTTTTCACCTTGACTAACTTCTACCCTAATTCTCCTCTGTTGGACTCCAAAGCAAACCCAGTAGGACATCAACCTCATGGAAGGATTTCTGAGTTGACTTTCATCAGGTGAAAACTCCCATGAAAGCAGGAATCAGCTATGTAAGGAAGCCAGGAACAAATGAATATGGGTTACTGGGAGCAGAGCTGCTTCAGCCAGTATAGTGTTACAGGGCCTGAGCCAATATATCCATCCTTCAAAACACAGATCAATTATCACCTCCTCCAGAAAATCTTTGGTGGACTCTTCCAAGATAAACTGCTCTTCTTTCTATTCATTATACCCATGCCAATCTCTTTCAGGAATATGCCAGAGCCTCCTCATACCAGGTAAAGAGCCAACTGTCAACTGTTAAATATTCAGTGGTTTTGAAAATCAGTCCTTAAGTTATTGAAATCAACTGTGACTGGAGTATTTACACCACCATAGAAATCAACTAATGACAAATCAGAGTCCTTTATATTTGAGGAGAGGAAGAATCAATTTTCCAACATATCACTATCTTTGTCATACCCTTCTCTACATTGTATTGTGGGGATTACTTCCCTGCTAAACAAATTCCTTGCAATGATTTCACTTAGCAACCAGTTCTTATATTTACTACTATTCACCAGAAACAAGTAAGATACTGAAGCGGTAGCACTGTAGCACTGTCCTTCAGTTGTTCATTGATTTGCTCGAGCGGGCCCAGTAATGTCTCCATTGTGAGACTTGTTGTTACTGTGTTTGGCATATCGAATATGTCACAAGTAGCTTGCCAGGCTTTGCCGTGTGGGCGAGATGCTCTCGGTAGCTTCCCGGGCTCTCCAAGAGGGGCGGAGGAATCGAACTTGGCTTGGACAGGCCGGCTGCGTGCAAGGCAAATGTCCTACCGCTAAATAGAAAATAAACATAATCCCTACTATAGACTAACAGATAGGCTTCCCCCCCCCCCTGCAAAAAATGGGGGCCAGAGAGAAAGTTCAAAGGGGTGAATACTAAGTGAATATTTTGCATACAGGAGGCATGAGTGTCCTCTCTGGCACCACATAGTCCCACAAGAATATCCAGAAGCAACTCACAGGCACAGAGCCAAGAGTACCTCCTGAGAACTGCCAGGTATAGCTCCAAACAGACAAAAATGAAAAATGAAGCACTCTATAGTTACAAGTTGAATGGTCTGCTTTGTGATAAAACATCCTGACAATGCATGTGGCTAGCATAGAATACTAGGTTGGTGGTGGTGGCAGTAGCAGTGCTCAGGGGCCAGGAATTCAACTCAGAGTCTTACACATGCAAAACATGTGCCCTACCTACTTGAGTCACATCTCTGGCCAGCCCAGCATGCTACCCCGTTTTAACAAGGTGATGAATGAAACCTTTCTAAGGAGGTTTCTTTCTTTCTAAGGAGGTTTTTTTCTTTCTGGGAGCTGAAAATAAGAAATAAATGTGGGGAGAGACATATAGATACCCCCTTGAAAAAGTGTTTCAGTGAAAGGGATACAACTACACAAAGAGTTGGGATGTTTGAAGGACAATCTTGCTAGGATGGTGTGATGGTTTCATTTCATGTCAACATAATTTGACTGAAGGGTGCCAAGATTAAACATTATTTCTGAATGTGTCTGTGAAGATATGTCTAGGTGAGATTAGCACAGGAATCATGGATTCAGAAAAGTGGACTGTCCTCTTTCCTATAAGGGTGGGTGACATCATGTCCACTGAGAACCTTAATAGAACACAAAGTTAGAGGAGACAGGATTTGGATTTGTTTCCTCTTTCCTGCCTGCTTTGACCTATTGATCTCCTTTGCCCTTGGAATGGATTTATACCATTGGTTCCCCTGGTTTTCAGCCTTTGGACTAAGCCTTGACCAACACCCCATCATTCCTGGGTATTCACAGATAGCAGATTGTGGAACTTTTCAGATCACAATCACTTAAGCCAACTCTTCACAATAACTATGCTGGAGCGATAGCACAGCGGGTAGGGCGTTCGCCTTACAAGCGGCCAACAT